TCTCTCCGGTAGTCCACCAACAGATGAAAAACACCCACCTCTCCACCTCTTCCAAGGGACGAGGGAACCATGCGGCAGAGTTTCCGTTAACATTTTTTCGCCGGTCAAGATGTCCGTTAAAGTTTAAATCTTCCGGACAAAATTAGAAAAGTGCCGGTCAGAGGTCTTCTTGTTATTTATTGAGCTTTAAAACAAATTGATAACGACTCTATATAATAATATAATAATAATAAACGGAGTCTCTCTTTTCCTCCCCCTCTTCTGACAGCCCAGCAGCTGATCATATTCCTGATCAATGTCTGTTTTCCCAACACAGTACAGCACTTTCAAAACCTTTCCCTGGGTCATGTTGAGAAACTAAAAGAGCCTGAGTCTTGACCCCCAAATGCCTTTTTAGAATTAAGAAAATGCTTCATCACTGTTCACAGCAACCATGCATGTAAACTGAAAGTCAAATAAACTTGAAATACTAACAATGAGCTTTTAAGCCGAGCAATCATTGTCAGTCGCCACATGTCCAGATCATTTAGTTCATCAGTTTGATTTATTGTGATTAAGACCAAGACAAAATTGATCAGCTGTAGAGGAAAGAAAGTGTCGGCGTAAAAATGACACATATCTCTTATCTCTTTCTTTCTCCCCCATGGGAAAACCCTCAAGTCCTAAAGAAAAACACATTTTTCAGGAAGCAGTTGCTGTCATGGTTAAAAGATGTTGATTGTTGGTTATAGACGGGATGCACACCACAGTGTACGGTGACATCCATCCCAAACTCCTCACTGGAGGTCTGGCAGCATTTAAACATTGTCATGTTTCACCTTCATCTCTGAGATGTTCACATAGTCAGAAGAAAGACTTTAAAAAATGACAGATGCTGTTATTGTTTTGGATTAAGACACTCTTGAAAGCTTTGCAGCTAAAACATTTAATTTGTTGTACGTTGAGCATAATATCTGCATTGATTAACCCCAACTTCCATTTTCTACGATAATGTTGAAACACGGCAAATATGGTGAAGTGCAGATCACCACAGTAAATAAGATGTTCTCTAGTTTGTTTGTTTTGTTTGTTTGTTTATTTATTTAAAGGACAGTGCACATTGATCAACATTGCTGTAAACGTGCCAGTATTAGCCAGCAGGCTAATTTTCAACTGTTGTCCTTTTGGTAAGATGTTAAATAACCACAACAAGACTAGAGAAATAAAAACATAAGAGTCGGCAGGCATGTTCCTGTTAAAGGCGGGAAGAAATGATTTGTAACATAGCTCACATGAGTCTATTCACATGATTACATTACATTACATTTAAGTAAAGAGTAAGAGCTCTTGGTAAACACCAAGTTGTGTTTGATGCTGTCACATGAAGAATGGCAGTATTTAATCATAGCCCTGGACAGTCTCAGCCTCCAGACTTCAGCAAAAAGCTTCACTATCCTGCACAACAGGTCTTCATAGCTGATCACCCACAGTCCTCAGGCTCCAACACACTCTTCTGGTGTCAGATTCCACTCGTGGTAGCTGGTATGATGAGATCAGTATCACACACATAATCAAAACCCAGCAGGGGTCAGTGGGTTCCTGAGTCGGCCTTGTCGCTGCTGCAGGACAGGACAGCTGGTTTAGGGGTTCAGCAAGGCTGCGTTTGAGGCCCACTCGGGCCAAGTGGGAAAAAAAGAGCAAGGCCACACCTGTTGGTGTGACTGATGATGGACAGTGACACATTTGGAAAGGTGTTTACATTCTTCGAGCACTAAGAAAGCATGTAATGTGGCAGCTTGAAGAGAATTTGAAGCTTCAAGCGCATCATCTTCTTACACAAACTGTTTTAATCTTTTATCTCTTAGACCTCTCTTGACCAGAGCAAGTTGAGTCTTGTTGTTTATAGGCAGTTTTAAAACAAATCATTCATGTATAGTTCTTTTTAAATGTTATTTAAGAACTAAATTCTCTCTGATTATGTCAATAATCTGCTTTCATGCTAGTCATGTGCCTTAAGTATGCAAATACCAAATGCACAGTAGGAAGTGGGTAGAGACAGATTTAGTCATGCTTTAGCACCAAATGTGATGCATTCTGCCCCAAACACATGTCTGACCGCATTTGTCAAACAGACGCACCAGGCTTGAGTCACTGTCATTTGCGCAAATGCCTACAAGGTGCGCCTCCCTCCTTATTGCATATGCATTCAAGGGAGTTTTCACAAATAACAACCCTGTTGAACCTCTAGTGACGGAGGCTGTTAGTAAGAATGCAAATGTTTGAATCCTCTTGACCAGACATCAAACGGAATTGACCCTGCCAGCTCTCGATCTGTGTAATGTCCTTATTAGCCCATGAGTGACTACAAACGCTCATTGTTGAAGAATCCCTGGCAATCAAGTTGGCCTGTTGATGATGTTGGCAGCTGGCATGAAACATGGAGAAAACAAACATCGGAGGTTGATGAAGAAGGAACTTCTCAAGAGACAACATTGTTCAGTGTTCTGTCATTGAGGGCAGACACAGCGATAATCAACAGACTAATTCAAGGATCGTCCAAGTTACCACCTAGCTACGTGACCGCGGTGCAATCTGCGTCATGCCTAAACCAAACAGAGTATTTCCAGAAAGGCATGGAAAATCTCCTGTTCTATGCTAGCTTTGTGAAAAGGAAACCCAGAACAAAGCCAGGACCTAACTATCAATCAAGCGGATTAGCTCTGTGCCATGTGAAGCCTAGCATAGCACAAAGGGAAGGTTAGATTATCTCCATCAAAAATAAAAAAGCTCTTTTATTAACACAAAGAAGATACAGTACATTGTCTGAGTACTTTTCCTTTTAACAATATTAACTAGGCTTCAAGACGCTCACACAGTTGCTAGTTTTAATATTGATTGATACAAAAATTATGTAACAAATAAACCTTATCATAAGATGATATATACAATACAGTACAGTTTATACTCCTGCGTTTCACAAGCTGAAGCAGTATTAATATGCAGTTTTTAACGAGCAGTGTTCAGTATACATGTTGTTGAGCTCTCCATTCTCATATTTGTTTCAATCTGATGATCTTACCTGGTGTGTATCTACTGTATTAAACCACATTGCCAATCCTTTTACATAACAGCTAACACATTATACAATCTGCATAAATTAACTTATCAAAAGTGGGACTTCATTTGATTTTCAGCCAGTGTTTTGAAGAGGTGCAGTCAGTCTGGGGAGAATTGGACACTCCAAACGCTATGAGTTCGTTCTTGCCAAAGGAGGCCGACAGTTGCCAAGGTGGCCTACATACATGAGCCAGCTCTGCTTATCAACATTCAAAGGTCTCCAATAATAGCTGCTTGGTTCTGCATATGCTTTTAAAGTCCTCAAGATGGGTTCAAACCAAGTGCGTCCACCAACAGAAAAACAATCGGTATTTGTTTACGGGAGAATTGGGTATATCAGCCATGTAGCCTCCTGGGCCCCGGCTGTGACGTAGGTGGATCCGGGGTAAGGCTCTTTGAAACACACTGCAGAGTGTGTATGTGTCCAGATTGTGTTTGAGGGGTCACTGCGGCGGAGGATCCCCGAGGGAACAGAGGAAGCAGCGACTTCACAGCAGATCATCTTCAGCTGACTGTGCAGCACCCGGCCTGTCGAGCAAGCAGAGCCACGCTTCCTCATCCCAACTGTCAGCAGAGGGGTGGGGGGGGGTTGACACCAAAGCACCTGCACTCTGTATGTGACTGTGCTCTGTGGAAACCATCACATGTACAAGTGAGGATATCAATACAAAACTCAATGCTTTATTGAGTATTTAATGGGCTTTAGAGATGTTTTAATGGACAAATACCCTCAAATGTTTTTATTTTGACAAATTGTAATACAGCAGGTCGTCATGAGGAACCGTTTCAGGGTTTACGATGGTTCAAGGCATTCAAACACACCTGTCAAGTTAAACGGATCTTTTGAACCTGGATACCACGGATACTCAATATGACGATGATAGATGACGCGAAACGACGCGATAATGACTTTTCCTAACCACTTTTACTCGACAACAATGGGTAATTAGGTCAATGGCAAATGAGAAGAAGAACTCATTCGGACTTCATGACTATATAAAGACAACTGGGAAAATCCCACTGCACTAGTTCTTTTTTATAAACTTTTTTTAAAATGCATTGAAAAATGCTAAAAGAGATAGGATAGAAAGCATTGAAGCTCCTTTCCTTAGCATATAGAGAATTAAACATCAGCTAAAGAAATCCGGTCATAAGTCTTTTACTAACCACTTTTCCTTAACCTCAATGGAACATGTCATTAGGTTAAGGAAATATAAGAATTCATAAAGACTTGTGCCAAGAGAATTCCAATGCACTTACATTAACCTACAGAGAATGTTTTTTTTTTTTTGCATCTTAAAATGTGTTTGTTGTCACCCATTAGACATTTCTACATAGTGGTCTATGGGGATTCACTCACTTTTGGAGCCATCCACAAGGGGAACTGCTTTCTAAACATGTCTTCATATAAAAGTAGAAAACACTGTTTGATCAGTTTATTTTTGAAGATGGGGAATGTTTTGAAAAATGTACTAAAGATTTATGAATATCCTGAAAAATGCACTAATGATGATTTAAATAACTGATTTTGGTGCTTGTCCGTAACATGTCTCCATTTAATAGTAGGAAACATCGTTTTTCTGTCCTTATTTCTAGGTGGTCTAAGTGTTAAATGTACTTATATATCAAAAAAACGTCACAGCAAAAGTGTAAACCAGGTCAGTATGTTAAAGTACTGCAATCCATATTATCCATCAGTGCATTAAGCTCATTGACATACATAAGATTTCTGCGCAATATCTCAAATACGCACATGAAAGGGGTCCTGTGGTTAGTTTGGGATTAGATGGGATTAAGGTGAGAGGAATTGAAAAGCATTTACTGGAGAAAACACAGTTTAGAGGATAAGGGAATAGGCTCATCAAGTATAATAATACAAGTTTGTCTTTGCTTTTCTCTTTCAGTTTAAGAAATGTCCCATTTCCAGTGAAGGTTTGTCCCTTGGCTGTGCAGCTTCACATGCGGGGAAAACCAAAGAGCGTCAGCGTGGAAAGCAAACCGGGACAGAACAACGCAGATTTCAAGAAGAGTCGAGATGGTTTCATCCTGCTCGTCCCTGCTAACTAACAATTCTACCAGAAGAACCTGACCTCAGGAACTGGACGCTCTGCATTTGAGGAACTGGTCCACCCTCACGCTCTTTAGATTGTTTAAATATTTTTCCAAAGTACAGCTGAGTCTGCTTTCTTAACTATAAAGCTGCAGGAGGGCAATGTTCAGCAGACAATAACAGAAGTGTTGAATAGAGAAATTAGGAGATTATTATGTTGTAAAAACTGCAAAGTTGCCTTACACATGTATGATACTGTTTGCTTTTATGTTACAAGATATTTGAAGATTAAACAAAAACATAAATTAAAGCACTCTTTGAATGACAAATTGTACATCACAATGCATACAAACAACCAGAGAAGAATTCCAGATATATTTTTGTACATTTGAGTGGAACTTTAATAAAATGAATACTTTATTGTACCTTGTCTCATGCTGTTACCTTAAAAAAGGCAGGCTGAGACAATTATTCCATGTCAGAAGTAATGAGAAGGAGAATGAAAATAAATTATTCTAAATTTACTCAAGCGAGCTCTCTGTTTGTTAATTCCTCCCTAATGCTTTGCCACAAGAATATACAACATGCTGTAGACAACTCTATTATACAGTGATTACAATAATGTTCTCATAAGGGCTTTGAGGCTTTAAAAGACAATCTAAGCAATGAAAATCATTTAGAGCCTCTCGTGTTATGCAATAAAGAGGATTTCCTATATAAATACTGTACATTTACAATCTCAGGTGAAGTTCTGGGGTTTGTATAAAACAGCAGCAGAGAGAACCAGGCTCAGTGACGCAGGAGCTGTTTCCTCTCTGGTCCCTTTGGTGTCCTCTGGATCAGATCAGCTGGGTGATAAACGCACACATTTACAGGATTTCTGAGGACTCAAGTTCCGAATGGCAAAATGTTCAAATAAGTTCAATGCAGTCGAACAAATTGAATGTCAATGGTTTTTAAAATGTTACCCTAATTGCCCACATTCTGAGATATCGGTCTGCGATAAAGGAGGTGGGTAACATTTTAGTTGACATTGAGAAATGATGTTTATACAAGAGTCACAACCCACCTCTGCTTGCACAAACCCAATTACAAATGTTTCCCTGTGTAAAATGTGCAAGCTATTATTGTCGTGGCCTTGTCTTTCCATCAAGCCACTAGGCGCCTTAAACAGACCGTTCTAACTCGTTTTCTTTCCTTTAAATTACTTACAGTTTGAAGAGTTGCTTGGCCTCCGATGGTTTAGATGATGTTTTTGATCAAAATAACAAACCTTTGCACATGCAACAAAGAAAATAGGCCTTTACAATGTTCAAAAGAAATAAGCAAAACTTAAATAAAATAATGAACAACTTAGGTATTCTTTCTTTCTTAATAATGCTTATATAACTTCATAACTTAAAGGGTACTTGTACGATTTGTATGTGTATGTGTAGTGTCCCTGGGCAAGACACTTCACCCCAAATTGCTCCTGTGGGGACTGTCCACAGTACTGAATGTATGTAAGTCGCTTTGGATAAAAGCGTCTAACAAATGACATGTAATGTAATGTAGTACGTGTACGGTTAAAAACTGTTCCTCGACGGCGTCTCTCAAACAGGTTGCCCATCACTGTGGCTTTAGCGCAGGCGCCGTGGGAATTGTAGTCCCTTTATAGTGCGTTGACTACAGACGTCACAATTAGGTGGCCTTTTCTTATAAATCAAAATACTGGCTCAACAATTATTATTGTGAGAAACTAAGCTAGTGTTAGCTGGCATGATATCTGACAGCTAGCTTGGAGGGCTATTGTGATGGCTAATGTTAGCTAACATATAGGTAAACACTGTTGTTTATTGGTTATTTAGTCCTCTTCCTTTACAGTAAATACTTGCTAAACAGTTTAGCATTTAGCATCTATCCCATAGCGCCTAGTTTCAACTTTCCATAGTGGCCAGTGTTCGACAGAAGGTAAATAGTCTCTAATAAAAGGAGTACTCCTGTTATGATCTTGTTTTTTGTGTTTCCTGTTTTATTTTGTAAGATCCTTGTCTTAATGTCTGGTTTTACTTCCTGTCTTTTGTGTTTTCCCGCCCTTTTGTGATTTTTTTATCCCGCTCTGTTGACCCACCTGTGTGTAATCAACCTAATCACCTGCTGCTCTTCACCTGCCATCTTTTAGTCCTGTCTGTAATGTGCCTGTCTATCCCAGGGTTTCTCTGTTGTTGTACTATTTTATTTAACTCCATCAACTTAGCTTTTAACTTAGCAGAACCATATATCATATTTTTATTTCATCACTTACTTTAACCCACAGTACAATTTGAGTGCTAACAATAGGTTTCAGGCTTGCTATGCTAGTAGCACCTGTGGGGGAAACTTCTGAAGCAATAGGAGTCAGGACTCAGATGCCCTTTCACCCGGCGCTTTTCCAGCTCCTGCTGGAGCTAGAGCCTGAAAAGCGCCGGTTTTTCCTGTTCACACCGCAGCGGCGTGGCGCGTCATAGCTCCGGAATGCGGTTCACTTCCAGCTCCAAAAAGTTGTCGGTCCAGAGGCAAGAGCTTTGGAGCTATGACGCGGCGTCGCTTACGTCTCTTACGTCGAGGGCGTGCAGGAAACCTTACTTTGACCATCCGTTCGCTGTTATTGATCATTGTGGAGAGCAGGCAGACGTTTGGTTTGTTATTATAGCAGCTATCGGATGGAATTAATACATGGGCTGTACAGGTTGTCATGTCCGACTATCACAAGTAGAATCATAATGAAAAATACGCCGGTAAAAAGTGCCTGGAGAAACGGCTTAGCAAGTAGTCCGTTTAGCTTCGGTTGCTATGCTAACATCACCCATGTTATACCAGAAGAACTTTCATAACAGCGTTGTGATGCCAAACAGTGTCAATTCAGACTGACACACATTCACTTAAGGGGAACTGGGGATATGTATCAGCTGCTTGTGTGACAGTCAGACAGTGAATACTTTAGAGCCGTGTGAGCTAACCCGGAGCTAACGGGAGAATACACTCCCGTTGAAAAGCAGCCAGCACTGCAGCGGTCGGTAAATGCTGAAACACATTAATAAACAATGAACCACGGCACTCTGGAGAAAAGTATAAGGTTGGAGAAGTCGTTATTTAATTTAATCTGGCTTCGTATGATTAAAAGCAACACGATCGTCGACCCGACGCAGTCCCCCCCCGTTGTTGTGGGAGAAAATCTCTCGGCAGCTCTGGGCAGTGTGAACAGAGCGGGAGCTGAAAAGGGAAACGGGAGCTGAACCAGAAAAGCTCTCGCTAGGAGCTAGAAAGGGAAAAGCGCTGGTGTGAAAGCCGCAAGAGAGACACGAGGAGAGCTGGAGCTTTGATGGCAAACACTGATGGTTTATTTGGAGCTTCGGCCGGAGAATTCACACGACATGTCACGGGCCACGGTTTGACCACACGGTTGAGATGCCACAATCAATTCTGAAGAACCCTCCTGTAGCTCGAGGTTTTAACTCAGAGTGTAATAATTAACATTCTTCAATAGATAGACTAAACAGCTGAGGACACTGAATCACATTTGTTGTCGCTTATGGCTCGGGGTCATCTACTACACCCCGAGAAGGATGTGTTCCAGGTGTCCCACAACAATAACTATCTCTGACAGAGAGTTGCCCGGTCATAAACTGGCAACATCAACAATATGCTAGGGCAGCCCCGCCTTATGGGAGATAACGGCTGCTCAAGGTTGGTCAGCTGCGTCAGAGGGCGAAGGAGGACATGCAGGGCAAATTATTCCCCAACAGCACCCAGGGGCGCCATTTGCCGACAGGCAAGGCAGGCAACTGCTTGGGGCCTCGAACCAGAAGGGGGCCCCAAAGAAGGTCGATTTAAAAAGGTCCACAGCAACGACAACATGTCATGTCCAGAGTGTCTTGGGGCGCCACTGGTAGCAGCTAATGTAGCATAAGGCCCAGGACGACGAGAGGACCTACAGAGGTCAGGTCAGCTAATTTCTTCCTCATTATGAATTCACATGCTCCTCAGATAATCCCAACTCTCCAGTTTGGAAGTCGTTCTCCGACGTATGTTCACAGGCTTTGGTTATAATGTGGAAACAACATGAATACTACAAAGAAGGTGCATTGCCACACCAGTGCACTCCCTAAAACTAGAAAAATATTGCTTTACATGACTTATCACATGGGTTTATGCTAAAAGATACATTTAAATAAACTAATCCAGGGCATTCTACATGGACAGCAACTAACCATCAACCTTCCATAATCCAAATTATATGTGAGCGAAATATTTTTGCGCGATACATGAATAATTGCAATTTCCTTTCTCTTTCCTTGTTGATGCTCTGATTTAATGTGAATATATATAGGCCTAATATATTTCCCAGTTGAGAACTTGTTTTAACAATTATTCCGAAACCACATTGATGCAGCATTTCCACACATTATTTGTCCTTGTCTTCTTCCTGGCGCCTACATTACCCACGGCAATTTATCATTTCACTTTACTTCTGAAGCCACAAAAGCTTTATACAAATGTGTTCTCCTCTGCAATGCAGTATAGACCTGTCAACACACTTTGAGGTTTAAATTAATAGAAAATCAATGATAACATCCACTATTATCACTGCAGCTTTAAGTATACTTAACTGCCAGCGACATGTTTTTTTCTCCAATGTTGGATATTTCAGATTGGATATAAAGTCTTTGTATCTCATTTAAAAATTCAGTCTGAGAGCTTAATTATGTCGTCTGCTGCCAGTTTTCATCATTTCTTTCCACAGCGCCTTAGTGAGACTTGTGTGTGTTTATTTTGAATGTGTATGATTTGCATAATGTGAAAACAGAATGTACTTTGAGTATCTTTATAACTTTCACCACTAACCTCTTGTTGTTAATTTAACAACTCTGAGACACGGCGCGGTGTTTAAATACATTCACACCTTTTAGTGTCAATATAGCACTTCAGAGCCGCCGTGCACCTCTTCAATCAACACTCTGAAACCTAAAATAACTAACTGCAAAAATGAATGTGCACAGTGTTATTGCAGCGTGATCTGTGCAAATTCACCTCTGCTTTGTTTGCTGTGGTCTGGTTTTCTCACTGCCTTTTAAGATGATAACAAGTCTGTGTGAATCATGTTTCAAAGCACAAGGATTCACTCCATTTCTCTGTGTGAGCGTCACCAGATTGGGGCCAGAGAGCAGCACTTACCGGCTACTTACAAAGCCGCCTCACACCTCCCCTCTCAGATGCTTTGTCACCAATTCACACATTTCATCCTCTAAACTCTTGTATTCTCACATGGCTGCAATGTGACCGCAATCGCCCCCCCAGGTGACATCCACGTGTGAACGGTCTGGAGGAAGTCAAAATGACGGCTGTCAGGGGGACAGATCCTGTATGAAAGGTGAAATGTTTCCCAGAAGAAAACCGAACTGTTGGATTTTTTAACTGAGTACTTTTAGGCCCCGTCAACACGGAGACGATATCAGTTGTATCCGCTAACGTTCTTTATCGTATAGACGGTTCGTCCACACGAAGC